TAATGTAAAAGATAGAAACATAAAAACAAAATCTACAAGTTGACCATTCTTTATGAACTTCATAACCTATGTACAGTAATATTTTTAATTATTTAAGGTACCAAGCCCCTCAAGAATTCATTATCATACCAATTAATCCACTGGGCCTTATTCTTATATTATCTGACCTATTTTATTACTGTATATGTTTTTTACATCAGTATCTTCACCAAGTTCAATTTTCTTATCTGAAAATTTCATCAATAAAATTCTTCTTGCAGTTAAAAATCAATGACTATATTATAAGACCTATATATCTTATTGATTCTTACTCCCTTTGGGTTTTAAATTAAAGAATATTTTATCCTTATCTTTAAAGAATATTGAACCAAACTGATATAATTATTGTGACATTTTTCATCTAAGAGGCTCTACATTTTTAACATGCAATCAATGAAATCAAACTTTTCAAATTCTAATATCAGCCTATATCTGGCTGAAAATAGGTCAGTTGTCTGAAAATCACACAACATGAATCTCTGCATAACAACATGTTTCAGGTTCTGTTTATATATAATTCCCTTTATATGATGAATTGAGCACAATTTTAACAGTGAAAATATTTTGTTATTGTGAGTCTATATTTGTTCAAACTCATGGCAATCCTCATGTTTTTATCCATGGAAAAATTTTTCATCAACTAGATAGTTGCCAATTCCAACCTATCATGTTGAAAACTAGTCAGATCCTTTTAAGTGAAAAATCAACATATACAACAAGATTCACTAGGATTGTTTTAGTTGGTGGTATGCTGTGGTTGAATACATCCCACAATTGACCAAGATTCTCTAAAGGTGTGCTGACTCGAATCTTGAGTAAAATCCCCATGTTTTCATGACAAGATTATCTCCTTCGCAACAGGATCTATAACATCAACAAGTTTGATAATTGTTTCTGACTACAAGACAAACCGTCATCATCCAATAAGAATCATTTTCCTATCAATTGCAAGTTGCACCTGATTATTGACATTGTGAAAAAGACCGACTTTTTTGCAGGTCGACAAAGCCCATGACAAGACTCTAGTAGGCGACAAAAAACTCAGAATAAAGCCATTTCTGTGCCGGCACCTTTAGATGGAGCAATATATACCATCTGTCAATGAATCTTCAGTTGCTCTCAGATTTTGTCACTCTGGCCGGGGCAGACCTGAGATCCCCTGAACAAAGTGAATTTTCTAGTTACTTCTGGCTTCTAAATAAGTACATCACTGGGCATTTTAAGTTTGTTTCAATCCGAACCATCAAATAATTCTTGTTTTCATTCTGTAGAAATAAAGAGATAATCTTGTAGAAACACTATACAACAATAGTTATTATGTGTAATCCTTTACCCACCAATTTTAGAACATTTTCTCAATTATAACAGCTATAAGGCCAATTTACTTGCCATAATGTTTTCATTTGAAGGAAGAAACAATTCATCAGTAAGTCTTAAAGATTATCACCTAAGATGATATTTGATTTAACATCATCAGTTCTAAGAAAGGAATAAAGATGAATATTCTCTTCTACAAGAATGAACTAGACTCTTTGTCTCAGTATTTCTAAGTTAGTTTGATAAAACAAGAGTTATTATAGAGATCATTATTCATACAGTGGGCAAAAACTTGTGAATATCTTCAAACTATCTGCTAAAACTGTCTTTCAATTCAAAAGAGTTCTGTGTGGCCATGTCAAGTTTGAAGAATTTATATCAAATGCCTGTTATGTACATTATTCATGCATGGGCTTATTTTTTGGATTTCATAATGTTTTAAGACTAGGTTCAAAACTTGACAGTTGAGAAAAAGTTGAACTGGGCATCAGAAATTCCTGGGAAGACAGAACTTAGATCTCCATGACTCAAATCTTGCAGTAAACTTGTAGAATAGTCAAGTTATAGTAGAATTAGTCATGCTGTATTTCATTTCATTCTAGTGAATTTAAACACAACCTAGAAAAAACCTCTAACATGAAAGTTATAAACATGAGATATCATGTCGAAGATGGATGACTAGATGTTACCTCAGTTCTAACTAGAAGACTACAGTCACTTTATCACTGTCAAATATAATTATCACTTATTGTTTATAATAAGAAATTTTATATTATTTATACTAAACATTATAATGTCATGTTCATTCTTCATTATTGATTGAACTAATTAAATATAATTAAATATGTTTGAAAAGGGGTACTGATAGCTGATATTGAGCTCTATCAGCTGCTCAACCTCTATTGTTTGGTTATAAACATATCATACTTATTTCTTAAATGCTTTTCAAAAGACAATGAAGAATATGCATTTTGTTATATCTGGTATACAAAGCCAGATATATTTTATAATACCTAGTTAAAAGTCACTGTCAGGAACATTGTTTCTCAAATCATAATGCTTGAAGTCAATGCAAAAATTTATGATTAAAAAATTTGATCTATAAAAATGATGGATATCAGTGTTATCCAATTGATGAAATTTGAAAAGAATGTATATGTTGATAAGATCTTGTTCATGTTTGAATTTGATGATAATTTGATCAATTGTTTTTGAGTTTTGATAAATTGTGTTTTAGGTAAAAAAAAAATAAACAAAGGCTTGCCCATATGGTTTAAAGCAAGCATAAGATATAAATTTTCTCAAAATTTTAATATCAAATAATTATTCATTGTGAGTTCGGACAAGAAACCCGAGACCTTTAAGTTTTTTAAACAAAAGGAATAGAAATGAGTCATGTTAAATATTACATCAGTGTCAATGGTCCAATTTCATTATTAGACAAATCTTCTTTGTTCTCTTCACATCTCTATCATTGTTAGCCCATACCTCATTCTTATTATCACATAATCCAATCTGTTCTCCATCAATACTTTGTTTTTCTAATTAGCTTCTCTATAAATTAACTAATTTATGATCAAAATCCTCAATCCCTAATCTAATAATTCTCATAAACACATCAAATTTTAAAAATTATGAAATTTAATGAGTGATTTATTCATTAATACAAAAAAATTATTAATATTTTAATTTAAACAATCAAATAATTATTCAATAATTAAATCTCGCTGCACAGTTCATTCAAATAGAATAATTTTAATAATTTGTTATGTAAATTGTATTATACATTATTTTTCATTTACTATAATAACTGATAACCATAGGGAAAATTTAGAATTTTTGTGCCTTAGACAATGATTGCATCTACAGCTAATTAGCACTAATTAGGGATTTCCAAGGAAAGGTTTTTAAACAGATTGGCTGGTCTATAGTTATTCAAACACCAATGGGGTTTTTCCACATTTTTCACAAAGAATTGGTATAACATATATTTTTTATACATTTCCACAAAATTTACAAAATATTTTAACTGTTTACACTTTGTGCTTTTTCATCTTTTGCAAATAAACAGAATTGTATTAGATATCAATCATTTAAATACAGACATACAAGCTGATTTGATTAAAATTATCTTGGACAGACTAGCTTTAATTTGTAACATTCTTATCAGACATAACATTTGAAATATAGTGAATGACTCATCTTTGATTGTACCGTATATTTCCTTAACTTAACACACTTTCTCTCCAGTCGGAAACTCTTGGTAATTCTTATACAATATCAGGAATAATTCCAGTTGACACCATTGTATCTATGAGCTATTATGTCCTATCTTTCAGTTGTTAAACACACAAAAGCTCATAGACTGGCTCAAAATCCTTGACTAGATGTGAGGATTGCTTATTTTCAAATCTGGTATATTTTAGACACAAAAAATATAACAAAATATTATTCACAGCAATGAGTCTGGTCCTTTTTTCATCCATCAATTTCATTAGATATTTATTCCGAGCTCTATCAATGCTATGAACAACACAAAAAAATGTCTGGAAAAATGTATATATTATGCTGGATGCAATATACATTTTGATACGGTACACAGTTCAAAATATAGTTATACATGATAACAATTATTAATTATATAAAAATTCAAAATTAGTATTAAATATACAGTAAGCTTATATAATTTATTATACTAAAGATGGTACCGGTAGTTATAACGTTGTGTAATTATTCTAGTAAAAGTTTCACTAACAACCAATAATTTCCAGACACTGTTCAAAGATTAATCTTAGACTTTCCGCCATGTTCTTCCCTACGGCTTAATCACATTTATCATTTTCTTCCATCAACTATCTCTTGTCTTAAAAGATGTAATTATAAACAACTATAAGACCTGCAGAAATATTTCTAAACTTTTTTTTTATCAATTACTGTTTCCATGGTATATATAGGTAAAAAACAACACAGACACTTTCATTTTAATCTTTTTGTCATTACTATTTTAATTAATCTATGATGTTAGTATATTTTTCAAAATGAAATGCTTAAGATTGGCCTTAAAAAGATGAGCAAAGTCATCAAACTTGCAATAAAGGAAATTTGCAAGGACAGACTCATTTATCTACCCTTATTTCTAACTGTTTGGAAACATAATTCTGCACGTGTAGATCACTAGGAAACATAATGGCTGAATTTCACATAATATAATAAACTAATAATAATATTTTTGATTATAAATCATGAAAGAAAATTGAATAATAAAAATTTATTCAAATGAATAGGTGTGTAATGAAATTATGCTGGTGCTGTTTAAAAATTTGAATTACAAAGGCATAGTGTAAAGTATTTGAAATCTCTTTAATGATGAACATAATTTATATTTAATACAAGGTGGTACAAGACAATTAATGTATTTGAACAATAATCTATTTTAGTAAGATTTTATCCTACACACAGAGAAAATACTTTATGTCTCTATATTCAGATATAATTACCTTCATTATAAACATACATTTTCTATATTTTACTCACAAATATCTTTATTGTAACTCAATATTCTTATTAATCATTTCTTATGTAAATGGACAAATAGGTACTTTAAGAAACAACTGCTTAAAAATCAAGAGATTTGTTCGCAATATTTAAACAATACTTAGTGTATTAATTACACATAGATATCTCTCTGTAATTAATACACATAAAAGTATTGTTTACATGTATACAAAAATATTCTATTTACAATTTCTTTTAATGACTATCATAATTCATTTTCTCATATTATGTACCTGTGTAGGTATCATATTTAATAATGCTATTCTCCATATCTTAGCCAAATATGATGTCAAACATCATTTAGTTTGATTCTGTGGGTACAAAACTGAAACATAAATAGTTTTTGTGTCCTCCACCCAACTCCCCACATCCGTCAAACATATCAGAACAATTTGATGGTGTGAAATGTCATTTATTTTGCATGACCACAAGAATATGAGAAACATAAAATATTGGTGTAAAACTTACACTTCATAAAACAACTCAAATATCTAATAATGCTCATATTCCTGTTGGGCTAAACACAATAATGATAAAATACGCCAAACACAGCCCCAATAAATAGTTTTTTTAAAGAGATTTTCACCCAAAATATTATTCCATGTTAGCAAAATTGAAAGGTTATTTTATGAAAGGTGATTTTCACCCCAAAATTTATTCTGTGAGTACAAAATTAAAGAATCGTTTTTATAAAAGATTTTCACCCCCATAAATTGATTCTGTGAATGCAAAATTTAACGATTGCTTCAAAACGTGACTGCCTTCCTTTATATCCCTTTCAAGATTGCTTATCAGCATATTTCATACTCAAATAGAAACCAAGACATTTGTATAGTCAACAAAGTGAATGGTCATAATATGAGCTAATAGACAACATTCCATGATTTATAACAAAGTCTATTGGGAACAGTACAGAACATGTATCTTATATAAAAAAAATACCATTTAATCAATAAAATTACAAATTATCCATGGCAACTAGCTTACTCAAACTTTTAATACCTTCTACCACAATCAAATACTCAGTACAAACTTTTACATTGTCTCTCTGTGAGCAGTTGAAGTATCTTTCCAAAAATGGCTAACATCCCATTCAAACTAATATATTGATTTAGGACTTTAAAAATAGCAAACAAAAATCAAATTTCTACAACTCAAACATGTTCATTTTTCTCGTGTTCCTCATTACATTTTTTACTGCCAGGCACGCTGATGAAATCAGTCCCAGTTAAAATAGTGTATTGTAAAGTATTGTTCAAACTTTATCGATCAGTACAATTTAGGTAATCGTAAAACGTTAATCATGACCTACAGTCCATATTAAAATATTTGAAAGTTCAAGGACTTTTCAAGGACAAACATCAATTTTGCAAGTTTAGGGACTTAAAAACTTAATTAATTTCTTCTACAAAAGGTCTCATTGAATAATTCTAGAACATTCGTCTTATATTTTGTGTGAATTCATTACACAGCCAGCTATTTTGTAGCACAAGGAGACAAGCAAGAAGATTATAAATCTGTGAGTTATTCATGTGGATAGTTTAGTACCCTGTTAATACTCTTTTATAGTCTTGTGACAACCATATTAATATAATGAGTTAGAGTGATAGAAGTAGAGATGGTTTTGATAGAATGTGTTATAGCTACCCGGTACTTGATAAACAAGCTGGTTAGCTAGAGGTATTGGCAATGACAGGAAGGTTTGATAGAATGTATTATAGTTACCTGGTACTTGATAAACAAGCTGGTTAGCTAGAGGTACTGGTAATGACAGGAAGGTTTGATAGAATGTATTATAGTTACCCGGTACTTGATAAACAAGCTGGTTAACTATAGGTACTGGTAAAATCAGAAAGGTTTGATAGAATGAATTATAGTTACCCGGTACTTGATAAACAAGCTGGTTAACTATAGGTACTGGTAATGACAGGAAGGTTTGATAGAATGTATTATAGTTACCTGCTACTTGATAAACAAGCTGGTTAACTATAGGTACTGGAAATGACGGGAAGGTTTGATAGAATGTATTATAGTTACCTGGTACTTGATAAACAAGCTGGTTAGCTAGAGGTACTGGTAATGACAGGAAGGTTTGATAGAATGTATTATAGCTATCCAGTTCTTGATAAACAAGCTAGTTAACTATAGGTACTGGAAATGACAGGAAGGTTTGATAGAATGTATTATAGTTATCCGATACTTGATAAATAAGCTGGTTAGCTATAGGTACTGGTAATGACAGGAAAGTTCATAGAATGTATTATAGTTACCCGGTACTTGATAAACAAGCTGGTTAACTATAGGTACTGGTAATGACAGGAAAGTTTGATAGAATGTATTATAGTTACCCGGTACTTGATAAACAAGCTGGTTAACTATAGGTACTGGTAATGACAGGAAAGTTTGATAGAATGTATTATAGTTACCTGCTACTTGATAAACAAGCTGGTTAACTATAGGTACTGGTAATGACAGGAAAGTTTGATAGAATGTATTATAGTTACCTGGTACTTGATAAACAAGCTGGTTAACTATAGGTACTGGTAATGACAGGAAGGTTTGATAGAATGTATCATAGTTACCCGGTACTTGATAAACAAGCTGGTTAACTATAGGTACTGGTAATGACAGGAAGGTTTGATAGAATGTATTATAGCTACCGAGTACTTGATAAACAAGCTGGTTAACTATAGGTACTGGTAATGATAGGAAGGTTTGATAGAATGTGTTATAGCTACCCAGTACTTGATAAACAAGCTGGTTAACTATAGGTAGTGGTAATGATAGGAAGGTTTGATAGAATGTATTATAGCTACCCAGTACTTGATAAATAAGCTGGTTAACTAGAGGTACTGGTAATGACAGGAAGGTTTGATAGAATGTATTATAGCTACCCAGTACTTGATAAATAAGCTGGTTAGCTAGAGGTACTGGTAATGACAGGAAGGTTTGATAGAATGTATTATAGCTACCCAGTACTTGATAAAAAAACTGGTTAACTATAGGTACTGGTAATGACAGGAAGGTTTGATAGAATGTATTATAGTTATCCGATACTTGATAAATAAGCTGGTTAGCTATAGGTACTGGTAATGACAGGAAGGTTTGATAGAATGTATTATAGCTACCCAGTACTTGATAAACAAGCTGGTTAACTATAGGTACTGGTAATGACAGGAAGGTTTGATAGAATGTATTATAGCTATCCGGTTCTTGATAAACAAGCTGGTTAGCTAGAGGTACTGGTAAAAACAGAAAGGTTTGATAGAATGTATTATAGCTATCCAGTTCTTGATAAACAAGCTAGTTAACTATAGGTACTAGAAATGACAAGAAGGTTTGATAGAATGTATTATAGATGCCTGGTACATAGCTAGAGGTTTAAATCAAGTTAAATCTTGACCCTCAGCTGTCAAGGATTTCAGGATTTTATAGAGACTGTTCAGAATACCACAAGCGTTTTCAGTAGACATACTCCAATAACATACTTCCCTACAATTTATTTATAGCTTTAATTGACGCCTAAGATACCTTGATTACTAAGCATTTTCAGAATACCATAATTTGGTCGCTGTTATATAATATTTTTTGCAAAGGCCCCTTTTCTAACTGTTCTTATCATAAGCCTTTTAGCAGCAACCAGTTGTATTAGAAGATGTTTAGATAAAGAAATAAACTTGTAGCATTCTAGGAAGATAAAATGATAATTTCCAAGCCAACAGCCACATTAGAAGCTATATATTGACAATTGACATGAGAGTAGGAAGAGAGAATGATGGATTAAAAGTGGACACTAGATGTTGTTGTATATAATTATAAGATACTAGAAGATTTACTATTGATTAAGAAAGAGAGATTGAAGTTAATAAGATAATAATGAGGTAAAGTAAAACTCATCTACCATTTGTACTGACAGATCAAGGTACTGGTGGTCAACCTCCAACATATCTATCATGGTTTTCAATATATGTTACATATGAACGGCGTCACTAGCAAGGCAAGACATACTCAATCTTCTGGAACACCTGATGCCACTTTCCTTTACATTTGTCAAACAAGCTTAATTCCTTTTGAGAGATCCACAAGGTACTGATACTATAGTCAACATTTAACATATTTAGCATGGTCTTCCATATCTGTCATATGATGGATGTCACTAGCAAGGCAAAACATACTACTTCCTCTTTTTGGACACCTGATGCCACTTGACCACTGGATCTATCAATCCAGCTTTCTTTCTGAATCATCTACAAAACTGATCGAGTTCAATTGGTTTTTTCATAATTCTTTTATAAAATATATGAATAATGTTAAAATTTCTATTTAAAGCCAAAATGGATCTAAAAGGAGTTGGAATCGCTTCTCTAAAAATTCAATAGAGATCTCCTAAACCCTGATGAATTCTTTAATGTGCCAAATTTTCAGGAATAATTGGACATACAGAAATCACTGTTGGAATATATTTGGCCAATGATAATAAATTTTGTATGAGAGATCTGGATTCTCTTAAGACATGTGACGTCTGTTCATCTTGTTTAGATGAAGAATTGGTCATTAATAACATCATATAACCATGGCAACACTTTTTCCTTTCCAAATTAAATTAAGCAGCAATCAATATGGATTGGGGTGAAATGACATAGATACATCTAGTAGTATAACTGTTATTTAATATCAACAATATTTTATACTTCAATCCTTCAAATTAGTGTTTGGAATTCAATATTTCTGAGAAATTTGACTGTTTAAAACATTCCAGATATCAACAGAAGTTTGAATTCACATAATTTTAAATGTCCTGTTTCTTTTTTTTGTAGATCTTATGTGAGGTCTGTCTTGAACTATCTTATAGTGACTAAAGATTTGCATTTTAATGAAAATCTAAGCATTAAAGAGATTGTAAAGAGTATATGAACACAATTTTACAGATCACAATTACTTTAATAAATAAATTGCGACGTTTCGACAATGATACTTTCGTCTTTATCAAGCAATGAAAGACGAAAGTATCATCGTCGAAACGTCTCAAGTTATTTATTAAAGTAATTGTTATCCATAAAATTGTGTTCATATATTCATACCTCAATTACTAAATGCCACTTAAGGGATTGTAAAGAGGTTTTCTAAAGTGTATTGTGGACACTGATAGCAATGATTAGCATCATTTGAATTGGTTCCTGCAATTCCACTGAAACTAAGTGTTTGATGATGTCCCTAATTGCAAAATATTCTTTATCACATAAGGCCCTTCGTGATTAGCAATGTCATTAAACACTTAGTTTTAGTCAAGTCAATTGAACCACAGTAAATCGGATTGATGCTATCAGTGTCCAAGATACACATAATTTTTTTTAGAAAAGCTCTGTACAATCCCTTTAAGAAGTGAAGATTTCTGCAATATGACAGTCTGTTACAAAAGACTGGCTCTTTTAATTTTCTCTCATGCAGAATGAAAAACATTTTATAAAATTTATTGATACTTGAATAAATTGTGTATCACGTATCATGAATGACATGTAAAATAAAGAGCTTCTTTAGAACGAAAAGGTCGTCAATGGATACACAGATGACCTAGAAACATCAGGATTAACCACTACACTAATTACATTATAACAAACATGAAATTACACTTTATAGTCTCTAAAAATAAACATCATTACTTATTGTATATTTTCAAGTCCATTCTTAATAATAAAAAAGAAAGTCTGTACCTTGTTGTGGAATCCTTCCTGTAATTAGTCACAGAATGTTTTAGTAATAAGTAGTAAATGCTTCTTTTGAGTTTTACTATTGAAATTACATTCTGTTTTGTTTCTAGCTATTTTACTAATCAATATATGAAATCGAAGTCTAATTCATTTTCTATGTATATATACATGTATTTGCAGTAACAAGGTTTCATTGCTATCTTATTAAAACTAATGGTCTTAAATTGTACAAACTCTCAATAAATACTACAAATTGTGCACTGTCATTGCAAAAGAATAGGGTCTTAAAGGGACAAGTGTGCCATTTTGGGGGGGTTGATTTTAGTCTTGATTATATGAAAATAGTCTTCAAAAGTACTAGAAATGTACAAAAAATACATAATTCCATTAAAAATACTTCTACATAAGCTTCTGTCTTTTCTATATATCACAGAGTATCTTAAAATGACAAGTCTTCATTTTAACATTTAAACTAAGATAATTCTGGACACACATATATTTGAACGCTCAAATTTCAAAGTTGAGCTGGGAACACTATTACTGATTAGCTCAGCTAAAAATTTCTAGTTTCTGAAACTAATGAATGATTGGTAAAAAAAATGGCCTAACTATCACTTTAATTTACTTCAAACAAATTTCATTTAAACATTTTATATTTCTTCATAATTTTCAATGGTATTAATAATAAGTTTTCAATTTCTGCTTTTCTGTTGGAATTCATTTAATTTGATTTTTAATTCAAAAAACTTGATCTATTGCTGCATACTTTTAAAAACTTTTGCTGTCATTTTCGGCAATGAGTTTTATTTCAATTTTATAATTAAAAATCATATTGACATATATTAAAATTATATTTTTAGAAACAATTTCACCTGGACTTCTTCTAATCAAAAAAGTTTGACTACAAGCAGTAAAAAAGGTTGAAGGAAAGATGATTCAGATATTGAGGTCATTGTGAAAGAACATTGAACTGATGAAGCAGAGTTAATAATAGCCGTAAAAGACGTAGATAGGAGATATAAATGATGTATATAATGTAGTTAATTATCAGAAATGAATAATATCTATTATATAGATGTATTTAAATATTCCCGAGTTTCAAATAGAAGTGCGTCTATAATAGCCACATTCTACAGGGTGATTAAATATGCGTAAAGAAATGACAATTGATGGTAGAATATGGTAATGAGGTGAAGCGTTCAGACAGACAGAATTAAAAAGATATAATGAAGACAGTGGAAGGTTTGTGATCAATTGAAAGTATTCTAGAATATTATTTAACAAGTGTCTCAGTCAATAGATTCTATCTTCTCACAATCAACGACAGTAGATTAACATCAAGACACTACACAAATCTTCAAATAATCCTACATCACTTCTCAATTTCTTAGAATTCATTTTAAATTATGTTCCTCATAAAGACTACCTTCTGAACAGTAGAAAATTATTAGTTCCATGGATCCAGTTTTCTCAGCTCTAGACTGGTATGGATAATATGGAGAGGTCAAAGATGCCAAGAAGCTTGGTCAAGGACCAGTTGGTAGATTGGATGTTTGGTTGTTTCTTTCTAAGACTACAAACTGATCAATTATAATATCTAATGACAATGGTATCTCTCAAACAAATCTATCCCGGATTTCTTGGCAAACAGCTTTCTGGTATACCAAACTAGCTCTGATTCTTGTGCATTCAAAGATACTACCCTTCATTTTTTCCAATGGTCTCTTTTAACATTGCCTGTATCAGAATATCTGTAGACAGACACAGCTAGAGAAAAGGTGAAATCAACATCACCAAGGTCATCAGACTTTTACTAGCAGTTATAAGGCTTAATACTCACCGTTTCAAGGTAAAATTCCTGAAGAATTTTCAGATTTTTGTTTGATATCTTACTTCTTTAAGTGTCTGTTAACAATAAATATTTTAAACCAGCTAAAGCATCAACAAGTACAATAAAAATATTCATTGAAAGAATCCATTAAAGGATTGACTAGAAGGTAAACATGTAATTGATGGAAGTTGTGCACTAGATAACTAGTATGTTAAAATTGATTTTCTCCCAAACCCCCTTTACGTCTTTCTATTGTCTAGAAAAATCTTAGTGTATTGATGAGTTGATTAAGGACAAACTAGTGAGCAGAAGTAAAAAGACAATCGTTATTCGTTTTATATATCTATCATATAGGAATGTCAGTAGTTTATAAATAGATACCATGACTCATTTTATATGACGGTCAATATTCACCTACAAATCGTGAACAAATTTTAAAACAAACATCATTACCGTTGATTCCAACACAATGGACAGTTAAACCCATTTAAACCAGTTCCACTAAGTACAAGCCCTACATTAAAGGGAAACAATGAAATATGCAAGCTATATTAACAGATTAATACAAAACACAGCATTTAAAGTCTGTATTGTAGATTGGTTGTGTTCAAACACATATTTCTCTCCTTATTAATATTATAATAGTCATGGCATTAGGACAGTTACTGTCACAGTAAGAAATGATATTTAGTGGACTCTTAATAATACTCATAATCAAGCCAAAGACAATGAAAAATTGCACCAACACTTATCTCCCAATTTTAACTGTATTAGGGATCTTTCAACGAGCACAGTCGTTTATACAAGAAGAAACCCAGCCATGTTTTTTTTAATCCCATCCATACAATGACATTTTTACCATATCAACTCCTCAAACCTGCATCACTGAGTAGGGGCCAACAGATACTACTTCTACCTATTGGAATTAGACCCCAGATTTGTAAGTATGCCTTTAGTGTCTTAACTTGAACTACTGCCACTCCTGCACATAGTAGGAGTCTTCACAGT